TCCTCAAAAGGTTGAGCATAGAGTTATTACAAAACCCAGCAATTCCACACCTGGGTATATATCCAAGAGAACTGGAGGCATATATCCACACAAAAACTTGTGCAAGAATGCTTATAAAGGCATTATCTCTAACAGGAAACAACCCAAATGTCCATCAACTGATGAATGGAAAATCAAAATGTGGTGTGCTTATACGGTGGAACATTAACCAGCCATAAAAAGGAATGAAGTACAAATTCATGCAATAACATGGATGACATTGGAAAACATTACACTAATTGAACTAAAAGAGTCATAAAAGACCATATATTTTATGATTCAATTTCTACAAAATGTCCACAATAGGCAGATCTATAGAAACAGAAAGTAGATTAGTGGGAACTAGGGGGAAATGGGGGAGTGAGTGCCAATGAATACAGGGTTTCTTTTTGGAGTGGTGAAAATGTTCTAAATTTAGACAGTGGTGATGGTTGCACAGCTCTGTGAATATTAAAAACCACTGAATCGTGAACTTTAGAAAGGTGGATTTTATGGTATGGGAACTACATCTCAATAAAGCTGCTATATATGTAAAAATAGAACTTATTACGTTGAAATGCAAGGTGGGCCTCCATTTCCTAGCGAGAAGATTTTTTTTTTTTTAAGTTTTTGCCAACTGGAATATACTGCAATATGTCAAACAAGGCAAAGTTTTTCTTCAAAATTGTTCTCAGAGAGGAAGGCAAAGTTGTACAGACCTCATTTATTAGGACCCCCCTTCACCATTCCCCACCTCACTCTGTGGGACTGAGGGTGAGAGAGCTTAGTGTTTGTCTTTATGACAGTGGGGACAAGGATCTCCCTCATAAATAATCTCGCCTCCCACTCTGGAGGCTCTCCAAGAGTAGACATCTGTGTTTCTGCCTGCCCAGCACCCACTCTCTTGCTTCTTGTAACTTCATGTGGATTTTCCTTCTGTCAGATATTCCCCCCTTGATCTTAGGTCTCTCAGGCTGCTCTTCACTTCCATGGCCAAAAAAGTGGACCTGTGACCCAGTCTGTCCAGTCAGATGCCCTTTTTTGGGAATTTGAATCGGCAGTTGGGTGACTCAAGGAAAATGCCAGTGATTTGTCCCACTGGGATGACCTGAGGAAACCATTCCATGGTTCCTGTTCCCTGGAGTCAGGGAGAGCTATTCTGGTACTGTTTTTTTCTTCAGATGTTTCCTGCACCCAAGAACCCTAACTTGATCTTTTGGACAAGGACTGAAAAATTCTATATTATTGTCTTGGTTCTCCTATGGCAGAGGCAGGGTTCCTCAGGACTGTGCAGACAGTGAAGGAAGAGGACTCTTAAATTAGGAGGAGTCATGATCTAGAAACCCCTATTTGCATTGGAACATCTTCTCTTTGGTTCTTTCTTGATGACCACTTGCTTTAATATTTTAATTGAAACTCAAACATTCATTGAATCTTAACTATGTCAAGGCACTTTGTTAGTTGAGAGGAATACACAGCTGAACAGAATGATATCCCAACTTTGTTGGATGATGGGAGTGCAGAGAAATGCTCTCTGAATTCTAAGTGGATCAGAGAGAAGGATCAGAAAAGAGGGCATTTAATCTTGGCTACAGGTAGAGAAATTTCCCTGACCCACAGGGAAAGTATCATTTGTGATGGGGTATTGAAATCAGAGAATCATAGATTTGGGGGCTGATAGGGACCTTATCGATTATCCAGTCCTACATTTTCTAGATGAAGAAATCCAGATTCTGATAAATGAAATGATTTGACCAGAGCCAAACTGGGCTCAGGACTTCTCTGACTCATCTCACTAGTTCTCAGGCACATTGTTGACCTTGACTGGCTCCTCCAGGTTTCAGGGCACTTGGGAAGGAGGAAGGGTGATATTTAGGGCTTGGTAAATGTTTGCCTAGGAAAGTATGTTTTGCAAGGCCACTCAAGAAATCAGTGAGGAATTGGGACAGATTCTAGTAGTTCTTGTCATATTGCTTTCTTCCTTTGGTTTTTTTTTTTTTTCCCCCCACTGGGGACTTGGCAGAGGGGACTGGCACCAGGGTTTGCATTCACCAAGTGTCAGGGTATATGACACAGGTATATTCCCACCTTTCTCCATCTTTTTGGAGTCTTTGAAGCAAGCCAACAGCTGAAGGGCTTGGTGAAATGACTTTTGTCATTGCCATGCTTTCTTCTGGGTGACCCGGTCAACTGGGGTGGAGAGCCTTTGATTGTCTTTACTGTAAGGGTCAGGATTATCAGCCAACTACCCAGCAGGTAGTATAAGGAGGAAAACCATTCACAAGTCAGGCCTGGGTGTTCCCAGCACTGACAATGATTTACCTTAGCTAGCAACTTGTTCTGGGCAGGAAGGCCCCAGTGTAAATAGCAGGTGTTGCTGGTTCTAGAGAAAGGGACAGGAGAACCCTAACGCGGTTCTTTGGGTGGAGGAAGGGATGAAGTGTCCTAATTCATATTTTTCATCCATGCAGTAGTTTCATCCACATTCATGGTTTTTATCACCATGCGGGCCCTGGTGACACCCTAAGTCCTGACCTCTCCACTGTGGGAGTCCCACAGGTCCTACCCTGATAACCAATACTGACAGAGAACTTCCCATGTTCCAGAGAACTGTGCTAGGTTCTACAGCCCACACATAAATAAGATGTAATCCCTGTCTGCAAGGAAGTACAGACAAACTTAAGCCTCACAAGTTTACTAGAAGGTGGTTAGTGATGAACACCTAGGATTCAGGCAGGCTTCAGAGAGGACACTCAAACCAAGGAGTCAGCCAGCAAAGAAAGCCACAAACCACACAGGCAAGGGAACCACATGAACAAAGGTGTGGAATCTGGGTGTGGGGAAACCACAGGCAGTAGCTGGTGTTACTAGAGCACAAAGAGGGAGATGGGAAGTGTGGGGAGAGAAGGTGGGGTGGGGAGATGTGGAGGGTGAGATGGGGGAGGTAAGTTTTGGGAAAGAGCAGTCTTTTTTTTTCTGAGCAGAGAAGAGGGAAGTGCCTGGGAGATTTGCATTTTAGATAGATCACTCTGTGTGGACTGGGGAGGAGCTGCCAGGATTGCAGGCCGGGAACCAACTAGAAGAGATGATGAGTTCCCCATGCAGGGTATTCACAATGAAAGGGGATGGGGGCTGGAAAAATAGTCAAGAGCTGAGTGATGACAGACATGGGGTGGGTGAGGGGGTTCACAGGTTTTTGACTTGGTCCCTGGGTGGATAATGGGGCCATGAACTGAGGTAAGAAATACAAGGAAGGGAAACAAGTCTGGAAAAGAAATGTTGATGATAGCTAACGTTTATTAATCACTTCTGTGGACCAGGCATCATGCCAAGAGTTTTTAATGCATCTTCTCATAACTATGAAATAGGTATTATTCTTGATTTATACATGAGGAAAATGAAATTTTGAGATGATGAATAGCTTGACCAGTTCTGCACAGCTGGTAGAGTGGTGGAAAGAGGTTCAAATCCAGGCATTCTGGCTCCAGGGCCAATGCTCCTAATGACCAGGCTTTACACGCATGTACCTGAAGAGTCTGAGGAGTCTGTGGGACACCCACAGTAAAGAGCGCTGAGAATTAGGGGGAGCCATCAGGACTCAGATTATGGTAAAAAACCATGAATGTGGATGAAACTACTCAAGTTGAACAGTCACCAAAGCACAGTGCCCTGGGGAACTCTCAGTTTAAAGAAGGAGGGGGAGGGTAAGGAGCCTGCAGAGAAGACAAGAACGAAAGTTTCCTCTGATTTTTAAATCTGAAGACATGGTTCTGCCATCTGGGCAACAGATAACTGGGCAATCACGGGTGTGTAGTGGCATCAAATAAAAAGGTCTGCCAAGTTAAGCTGACATATTAATGACAACAGTTATTACGTTGCAGAGTGATTACCCTAAACAGTAAGCATTTCACATAAATAGCCGTAATTACTATAGCACGTCTCCCTAACTGTGTCCTGTGGAATAGTAGTTCCTGGAGAGGTTAATAAATGTTTGGATCAAAAAGGGCTTCAGAATCAGGTAAGTTTACAAGATGCTGGTATAATTCAGGTAGAGAGCCAACCCCCCGGTTTACACTTTTTTCCTTTCTCTGTTAGGAGGTGGGATAGAGGAATGGCTAAGAGTAGAGGCCCGGGGAACAGAGAGCCTGGGGCTGACGCCTGCATTGACAAAAGCAAGGTAATCCTGGGCAAGTTACTGAACTTCTCTAAGAGGCAGGTTCCACATCTGAACAGGAAGATAGTAATACTTATTCACTGCGATTGTTCCAGATTTAAATGCAACAATGCACTGAAAACAATTAGACTAGAGCCCGGCACAGAGTGAGGGCTCTATAAATATTAATTATTATCTGTAAACCATACTATTATTAGCAAGTCTTCCTGACATCCCAGAGCCTTAAGTCTTTCTCACACATATTTCACACACGCGCTGATACCCACATTTCTTAAAAGTCGAAGCCTTTGTTCTGACTCCTGTGAGTTGAAGTTCTCTGGTGTCCACCCCACCATCTCCCAGGACTGGAAATGACCAAACACTTGCTACTCTAGGCAATGGGGCCAGGGAGAGGGAGGATTTATATGCCAGCAGTATGGCCTTGGAAGGGCCACCACTAGTTCAGTCACCTTCATGCACACTTGAAAAAAAAGTATGCATCTTTTGGGTGAACACTGGCCTGTACCAGGGCACACAGCTTAGCAAGTGAAGTGCAGGCTATATTTTAGCCCCCACTTGCTCTTTAGGCTGAATGTCATTGTAGAGTGAACAACCTGCACAACCATACATGGCAGTTCTGACCTTCAGGCCATAGAAGGGGCTGGAAGCTAATGACCACTGGAGAAAGAGGGTACAAGTTCTCTTCCCAGTAGTCCATGAAATCAGCTCTCCACAAGCCTTAAGGTGATCAAGTATCCTTCATCTCTTCCCTCTCACCCACATGTGCCCCGCCCCCCATTCATTCACACAGAGGCTGACATCAGAATACCTGGGTGTGAGGGGATACATCAGGCCTTGTCTGTTTCTCTGGAATGCCAACTGAGGCTGGGAAATGACAGAGCTGTGGAAAGCAGAAGCGGAAGGGCATGATTTTCCAGGTTTCCCCTGACACATAATGAATATTAAATTATAGTGCTCCACACCAGAGCAGACCACGGCCAGAGCAAGTCCGACTTCCTGACCAAAGTTTGGGGCAGTGAAGGGAAAATGATGGGAAGGGGAGCTTCTTAATCCTCACTGTGCGGCCCAAATGCGTGGCTCCCTATAAAGAATCTCACCACCCCCTTAGGTAGACAATTCCTTTGTGAAACAGAGGGGAAGATAAAGGCAGACTTATCCTGTTCTCTGGAGGCGTGTGGGGTAGAGTGGAGGGCAGGCCCTCTCTCCCAAAGTTCACAGGCATTTACACACACTCCCACAGAGAGCCTCTTCAGCCACCAGAGGGGCCGCTGCCTAGAAGCACCACTTTTCAGCCTAGAAGCCCAGAACCAGGCCTGACCTGTGGTGATCTGGGGAGGGCTCTGCCCCCTCTGTGCTTTGGTTCTCTCCTCTATAAGGTGAGGAATATGGATGGGCTGACTTTTAAGTTTCCTCACAGCTCTGCCAGACTACGGTTCGCTCCTCTCGGGGGTTCTATGCACTCCCCGTCAGGTCTTGACCGACCAGAAATGGCTTCCTCTCACCTCTACCCCAGGAGCCTGCGTGCCAAAGACCAACCTCCCTTCTCACAACTGGGCTTAGGGTCTGCGTCCATATTGCTCCTGATGATAAACAGCAGCTGGGGCTCCAGCTGGGAGTTGAGGTCCTGTGGCCTTTGAGACTCGGGAACAAAGGCTGAGCTGCTGTGGGGAAGGGACTTTTCCTGAATTTAAGGGAAGGGGAGCCCTGGGGCTGTTTATGCCTTTACCTCTCCGTAGAGCTGGCTGTTCCTCTCCTTTCTACAGATCTGGGGGGAGGGAAGAGGTGTCCTGTCTTTCCCTCTGAGGCTGATGACTTCACCTCCTTTCCCTTCCTCTTCCTCAGGTTAGGATCTCTACCCCTTCCCCATCTGCTCCCAGGGTCTGAAATCTCCATCCCTCTCTCTCCCTTTATTCTTCTTGGCATTGGGGTCTTTACACCCCTCCCTCTCTCTAAGCCTCTCCTCCTTATTCCTTTTTAGGCCTGCCTCCTAGCCCTGGGTGGAGGGGTCTGCATTCTTCTTTCTCTTGAGGCCCCATCTCCCTCCCCCCACCCTTCCCCGCTCCCCCTCCCTCCGCCCCGAGGCATTGTGGGAGGAAACAAGATGTGGGGCGAGAGCGGCGCGGGGAGAAGCCCGCAGTGCGGGGCCGGGCGGGCGCAGCCAATGGGGAGCGCGGACGGCGGCGCGCGC